TTCCTTTCCTTTTGCATTAATGTGCCAATGAAAGGTAATGTTGAAATAAAGACAGGAACAATCGACTTGAGTAAGATTCTGATACTGACCCGTATTCGTTTCGTCCCACAAAGAAGAATTTTGAAAGAATTGGGAGCACCTACTGCAGTAGTCACAGAATTTAAACTGATTTACTGATATTATGTAGTTGGTACGGAACATCCAGCTTTAAAATTCCGTGGAAAAAGCAAGAGCAGAGCGGGAAAAGGAAGAGAGCTATGAACAATTTAACACATTGACAACAACATCATGCGATAACATGTCCCACTCTGCGCACCATGCCCAGCATTGTGATACGGTTGTTCGTTCCGCCCAATTCTACTCCTTTCGCTTGCGCGACTTTTTTCCAAATGATTAATAATAAATATTCATAATAATATTCATTCTATTCACTTCTTCAATGTGATGAATATTCATTCCATAGACCATTACATAACTCAACAACATTGTTCACACTCAGGTCAGATATGCCTCAGTTTAGCAGAGGTTTATATGCGCTACGCAATTGCCAGAGCGGTCGTTTTTCTGTTTTTCCTCATTCATTACCATACATAAAGAAGTGCAGTAGAAAATACAAACCCAGGCGGATAGTAAATAGGTTTTTCTTGACACAACCACGTCAAAACTTATTGTGATGTTCATCCTTCAAAAAAAATAGTAAAATTCGCTCTTTCATGACAATTACACGCTCTTTCAGTCGGGTTTTAGCACTATCACTTGTATCACCTGTTTTCGAATTGTCACAAATTTCGCCATTCACTAAGTCGACTTTAAACTACATTCCAGTCCCGTACACATCATTGTTTGCCGGGCATTTTCGCCATCAGATCATCCACCCTCATTCTAGGCCTTCCCGGACACTTTGCGATTTCTACGTTCCATTGACATATGCATCGCAGATATTTCTGTTATTCTACTTCAGTGAACGACAGCATTCTACGGGTGCAGCTGCGCGGGTATCAGGGTGAAACAGGAACGCCTTCAGTTTCCTCATGAGTGATGGTCTAGCAATACCTTTTGGATTTTGCTGAAGCTAGAGTTAGCTTCTTTCTTGCGTCTGCTGCTGTACTCTCCGTAGGGTCTTCATAGTGCCCTACGCGCTCAAAGCTTCTTGAAGCATTATAAGTTCCATTAACTTTCGCATTTAATAATGCTGTAATTTTTTGTGTCATTTATGTTGTGCATAGTTGCCACTCAAAATTCACGAATGTGAGGTCAGGCGACCACGCCTGCAAAATCGCTCCTGTCCCACGAATCCAAAAAAGCCTAAATGCGAGACGTGCCTTCAACGTGCGAGAACAATGGCGAAACGTATATCCCGCGCACTGCAGCCCATGTCAGACGGTGCGGAATATATTTCCCGCAGCCCCTTTTTTCGCGCACGATTGATTCATTTATAAGTTCTTTTTATTTACCCAGCTAAGAGACTTTCGCGCAGCTCCGAACATATGGGTCCAAAGAGTGATCGGGCTTGAATGTGGAGAGAGTTTTCGAAAACTTACGAAATCTTCATTTCAATAATTTTTCATTTACTTTTCCTTTTTATGAATGTGTAGATTTAAATAGTATAAATAATAGGAAAATAGGATACGGAACGTGAGGGATGACAATATCTGTGTTTTGATCGAAACATACAAGATATTGTTTTTGGGTCCCTCGCATCTAGGTCTGACAAATTGTTTTTCATTGCTATTTCTCGTCTTTCGATCGCTATATCACCACTGTACCCTTAAGGTATGTTCTGCTCACTTAAGCTACTAATACAGCCTTGTATCGATCAGAATTTACGTATTATCACTCAAAATCTGATGTTACCGCGTTCAAAAAATCCCCTCGGTCTCACGCGGTCATAACAGGCCAAAACTCGCGTTGTCGTCAATATGCTGAGCTAAGGCCTTGAGTTCCATAGCAATGTTTCTTTCCTAGGACTTATGTTTGTGAATAGAAAAAGAGAACTATGACCCGCAAGTCACTGTATAGGCCAAATCGCATTCAAGCGTCATAACGAATGTGCAAATGGGAAGTTGAATGCGTGCCTCATCCCCCTCCTCACCCTTATCCTTGCACAGTTTGAAAAAAACATCTGTACAACAACTGGATCCGGATTTTGTTTGAATGTCGCTCTAATTAAATCAGACACAGACATGCGTTAAGAGCAATAAGAAACTATAATTCTAGTCGTTTCGGGTGAATGACCACCGGCAACGGCATTTACCTTACTACATTTAGGTAGCGGCATATCTGATTAACACCAATTCCAAGCAACCAATAAGAGTAAGTCAATACAAATTTAAAATGAAGTCAATAACATTCCACAAAATTGGGTTCCCATCTCGTCTCACCTGCCTCAACCGCTCTTGTTGCAGCGAATGTTCTTCTTGGAGATGAATGCATCCACTAGAACGACTTTGGCAGGATGGAGGAATTCATAGAACTGTTGTGAAGATACGGAAGGTACCCTAACAAAATACGGATATTGCAGAACGTACTTCTGAGATTAAACAAAACGTTTGAGGAAGGGGACAGATTGTTTTGTGTGCAGAGTTTCAAGAGGGGAAAAAGCTGAATCTACGAAATATTAGGGTGATCGCGCCTGGAGAAGGTTAAAAGGGAATTCACGAAAGGAAGGGAGAAGTGGGGGGCAGATTGTTTGCCAAGGTAGCCAAAACAAGCATCGGAGAACAAGGAGGCACAACGGTGTTAGCTAAAATACGAACAACTGCATATAGAAGGCATAAACTCGGTTTCCCCCAAAGAGGTGCACGACGTAGCACACGTGCCAATGAATAAGACGATATCGATTTGGTTTGGAATGCTCCTGATTCGATGCCACGTCGTGTCATCTGCAATTGCACTGCACCCTGAGACAGGAGACAACGTGTATTCTCTATATTTCGCTTCTCTTTGTTTTATCCCTCATACCTTCAATCGTTTCAGGACATTTATTAACTATTGATTGTTAGGTTGGTCCATGACTCCTGCAACAAACAGGCTTAATTTTGATTTGATTTTCATTATCTCTTTTGTTCCATTCAGCAGGTTTCGATTCGGCATAGTCACATCAATATCTACAACCTATTGCCAACACACTAGAAGCTGCTCGATGCCTCCCTTGTAGAAGTACGGTGACCATAAGTTCTGATCGAAGAAAGATCAGATGTCGATTTTGACATCATGATTTAGGATGAGATTTCTTCTCTAGGACGTGGTCTGGAGAGGAAACAGGTGGGCATCCTTTGGCACGAGGTCACAGCTGTAAGGTGGATACGGAATTCGATAGTCCCAAAATTTTCCTGGATTTTCTTAGCAAGAGGTGGTTCAACGGTGTCATAAAAAGCAAACTTTGTCTTGCTTTTCTTTCGTATTAAAGCGTTGCAATTGAGCTGTGGACGGTTGACTTCCGCGTTGACTGCGACATCTACACGTAGGGTTTCCAGAGCTCAACTCCTCTCGTGTTCCACCAAAAATCCGAGAAGGCCCTACTTGGACGAGGTTGAACTTAGCAGTAAGAACTCCCGAAGCGTTTGAGCTGGACTATCGCCGCTTGTTTATTTGTTAGCACACTGTACCCCTCCTCATCTTCGCAAATGTGATAGCGAATCGAAGAATCTTTAGTAAGTCGACATGACGAAGTCAGATCGTGTTTGGAGCTGATTCGGGCTCAAGGCATGTGGGATCCAAACTCTATATTTTCGGATCTTTACAAGTCTTTGGAGATGCCACAGTGCTCCTTGTCGCATCGGAATCGCTCTAGCAAATGATCGATACTCTATCCAGATCCCTTTTCAACAGCGTCAGGTAGAGCATGGTGATTGCCAGTCATGGACGCTGGACGGAGTGCGCTGGTGCATGGTGTGCTGAGAGAACGTGCCCTCGCCCATCTTCTGGCTAATCCTTGGTGTAGCATGACTTGCGGAACATTCCAAGCAGTACTCGTAAAAATTAAGGGCACGAAGAGCTTTTCGCGAAATCGGTGTAATATCCATAACAAGTAGCGAGACAACGAGCTGGACGGTTGGCTGAAATTGCAAAGGTGGATGCTACGTCAACAAACATGTTGCGGAATTTTCGGAGTTCTCACAAAATTCTCTAGCATTAAATGTAATTTGTTGCAAGACTTATGGACCAACCTAATACAAATGCTTTGGTACAAATGCTTTACAAATGCAATCAAAATGATTAGTTTTTAAATGCTGTCTTTGCAAGACACTAGCGCCTTTGTCGCGCACTTTTGAACCGGGACAATGGCGCTAGGGTCTTTCGAACTCTTGCTAGGTCTTACCAACTCACAAAAATTTTCTAGCATTGAATGTACTCTGTTGCAAGACTTACCGACCACCCGAATATAAATAAAAAGATAACAACTTGTTATCCGGAAGCATCTTTCCTCAAAGTCTCAACTTCTATTTGTACTTATCTGATTCCAGTAAATCTTATACCTGGTAACTGATATATAGAGCGCGTATCGACAGCCTTCAGTTCTGGACCAAGGCACCTAATCAAACGGATTACTAGTTCAAAGGATAACTAGTTTTGCTTGCTACACAACCCGAGACTGACTACAAACAATATCTGGAAATTATTCATTTTGAATATATATTACGAAACATGATCAGATACACTTTTAAGAAAACAAAGATCGGTCCCAACTTAGTGCATATTATGTATAACGATTATGATGATGTGAATGATGATGGTGGATCGCCATCGTGATGATGGATGGCCACTGCTAAAGTAGGAAAAGAGCATTTGCAAGATGTTTGGTATTCGAAACACTGCTGAACCAAGTAACCTTCTCGCCAAACTTTGAAAAAGGAAGAGAGGCAATATGTGTTTTCTTCACTTCCTGCGTACGTCGAAACTTCATAACGTCAGCTTGCTCAACAATTTCTTCTAATCAACACTGATGAGGAACAATTGGAAAAGCGGTTCAACTAACGTTTACCCGACAAGGAAGGGGGTCACATCCACTGTTTTTGTAGGACAGAGTAGTAGTTCATCCACCCATCATTACCGATGGCCTTTATCTGCAATCATGCAAGAATATTATTTGAAAACGGCATATGAAAAACACACAAATAATCATCTTCTGCTCACATTGACACTGCTTTTGATATCCATGATTCTTTGTCTTTTCACCTTTGAGAGATAAACTGTCGATATTAGTGGAAGCGCCAAAGTGTAGTATATAAAAAGCTGGAAGAACTTTATGAGAGAGTATGCCATTGACATGAAACATATCAATAAGATCTATGGAATTTCTGAGCACTGCGGCATTCCTGAAATGTTTGGAAATAGTGGAATGAAGACTTTCATTGGTTCGTGAGGAAGACTAATTACTTATGTTCTGGAATTTACAACCGGAATGGGAAGCAGATATCATTTCCCTGTCAATATTGTCACGCACAGGGCGTGGCGAAAGCGTGGTTGGCACAGCTCAGGAAGTCCACGACGCGACAAATGTGTCAAGTGCTGTTATGCACTCGGCACCTGGTGCGAAAGGAAACGTATCCAGCGATTCGTGTCGATTCAAGTTTGAGAGGTGAGCAAGAAAGTTTCCACATGTAAAGGTGGTTCTTCCATGTTTGATCCCTCTGATTTTATTGTATCATTATTCATCTGTATACAGGGCGGGCGCAATTCTTTGAACTGAGCGCGCCTATGTTCAATTCTGCATGAGCTCTGAAAGGTGTTCCTAAGAAAGCCGGACCTGAGAAGGCCCTACTGTCATTGTCCCAGCAGCAGTAATCGAAACCGTGCATTTCGCGATGTAATCAAAAAATCAATATAATGGATTGAACTCGCTCGAGTGATGTGCCTCGGAAGCGCTGAGGTCTAAACCGGCAACCACTGTTTAGAAACTCCAAATCTGGTTTCGCACTGCATGGAACTGGTAAAAGTAGGCTCGTGTGAAATGGAGAACTTCTATCTTCTCGGACAGCAGGTTTTGATCGCAGTTAGGATACGAAATTATGAATACCCGTGAGATTTGGAAACTTCTGATTTCTTTCAGAAAAGAAAAACGCCCAGACTAAATGCCTGTGAAGAATCTCTCGAAACTTGAGACGAAAGAAGAACAGCAAATTAAATGCCTATTCACAGTCTGCTCATTTTCACTGACGCCACTACGCCAAGCGGTGGTCCAACAGCGGATTTCGCTCTGTTTCGCTCTATTTGCTCGATGCACGAACAGAGCGAACAAGGGACTTTCTCCGCTGCTGGGTTCTATCTTCCTTTTTTTATTAAGGGTCGTCTATTAGCGGTTGGCCTAATTTCATTCGCCGACATTTATCAACTTTTCTCCCAGTCTTTCAGGCTTCTCGGAAGCGAATTACGAGGACTTGTAGATAATGCTTCCCACCTAAGGCACGTTTCACCCATGGTGGGCCTCCGTTCACGTGTTGTATGCTTGTGATACCTCAGACATTTGTTTCACAGACCACCTATTCTGCTGTATCGGCTTGCTCCTAATTCAGTCATGAAATTTTTCACTAAGCACCACTATTTTTGGGAACAACCTGCTCACCGAAAGTTAGTCTGCCGAATTCGGTCTGGCTCATCTATGCACGCCTTTCTCCATTTTTCCATGATCTCCGGGCTGTTTCAGAATCTAATGGAATTTCTTCGTTAGTGCCGCTCATTTCTATGCACTCCAAGCTCACTATGGGCGGAACAGTTAATTGACATACGTTTTGTACTTCTAGCTATATGGTCGATCCATCCCTTACTTGCTCCACCTCTCCAGTGTCCAGGAGGATCTCCAGGAAGTAGTGGATTTCGTCATAGACACCAAGACAGACAGTATGACGGGCCAAGTATTCTACTGTGAGTAGGATCCGCATCGAAAGATCGTTACTGCAAGGCCAACGCGATTATGAATGATTACGTATCCCGTTATTAGTTTTTTTTTGTTATGTGTCCCGTTATTAGTTTAGGTTCAGTCAGATGCAGGTCAAGAACCATATGATGGGAGAGATATCACTTTCAGGCCTACCAGTAGAGAGCGATATGGCATTAATTTGGAACAGTTCTCTACTCAATGACCTTATTAACTCCTTCCGTGAATATGAGTTTTTCTCTTGTAAGATTAGAGCACAACTGTTTAATCAGACACTAACGTCAGCATTTTCCTTGAAGGCAGGAGACAACAAGTTTGTGGACTGATAGATCCTGATGTACAAAATAGCGATCTCTGAGAGAAGAAATGTAATAAACTGCGTCGTACTGATCAAAAGAAGCAAGTTGGACGAAACTGAATGTTCGTTTGACTGAAACTTCGACGAAAGCGACATCCTGAATAGTGAGATTAAAATTCCACTCCGTTGATGAATCTGATGGATGTTTAGAAGCACGCACTATTTGATTTACTTTTCGATGATCTGATTTACTTTTCAAACGATCCTTCGATGTGTACACAATAACTACCTTCTTTACTTGCCTATCTGTTTTATCTCCCATTTGTAACAAAGTTTCGTCACAATGAAGTCCCTCTCTACGTATAGCAATTATTTGTGGTTCAAATGTCTTGAGTAGAAGAGCCTTATGACACATTGTTTCGAGCTTCTTGAAAACTCACCGTATTCGACGCTTTGGACCCAGAAAATGTAGAGCGATGGAAAGAGCAAAGCCTAATGCGTTGATAACTACCATTGCCATTATGACAACATTGATCTTTATACGGTTGGCATTCGAGAGCAGTCGACCGTTGATTTGTGGCTCGTCAAAGCTCTCTCCATAAAGTAGCACAAAAAGAGTGCATGCAGAAGCCAGAAGCTGAACGTGTACAATGTTTTTCGAGAAACTTCAAGCACAACATGGCTGCTTGAATAACATAAAATTTCACAATTGTAACAAGCCTTCAAGTTACCCGTATTTTTCGAGACCTAAAATTGAAATATGTGGAATGTTTCGTTATAAATAGGGAAGGCAAGGAAGATCTCAAACAGAAGCCATTTCAAGAAGATCTCGTTTTTATTCACATTAGAAGTCCTACTTCAAACACATCTCGTCATCCAAAAAAAAAAAAAAAAAAAAACAAAATCCTAGGAATATTCATTGTTCTCCCATACAAACTGCTGGGCAATGTTTTGTTTGTTGTCCAAAAAGTGTCAGAAAATCGACCATTAATAAAAAGGAGTACGAGGTTTTCTTTACCTATGTCACGAGTTTGATAGGTGGGAACGTTATTCTATCCACCTCTACTTCCACGTTAATGTCGTTCAAAGTTTGAAAACACTTACTATCCACCCAATTGTCCCGCCCCTTCTGGCATTTCTGACGTCATCTCAGTAGCGCATGCGAATTATTCAGTACTTTCCAATGAGCTCACTCAAGTTCCACCGGTAAAGCGTAGTAATGCTATGACAACCAAAGTGTGCTTTAGAAATGGATGGCAGCACGCTTGGCACACTCGTTTCGTTTGCTAGTTTCTGCATCTTACTCAATTGTAGAATGTCCTATGCAATTCTATTAGGTACCGGATATCTTAGTGTCGTTTTTTCACCGCGAGTTTCGGACCACCAATATTTTAATTCAAAATCCGGAGTGAGTGAAACAGCATATTCATCGAATGACTCATTAGCACTTTCCCATTTACCAGTATGAGTGGAAACCTCGTACGATTAAAGCTAGGAATTTTTTGAGTCGAAAAAGAGAGGTAGGTCGGTTTTGACATCATCTGACAAATCATCCCTCTCACTTGCTAAAAGTTAGGCCTGGACAAAAGAAGTATACAGTTAGTTAGAGTAGGGTCTGCACTGTATGGTGGAAAAGTTAAACTTACCAGCTCAACTGGACAATTTTTCCCGGAGTCTTTTTTGCCACATAGGGTCAAAAACGCACCCTTTTTGAGCACACGTGAGTAGCAGATGAGCACATTTATTAGAATTTCTTGTGCAATCAACTTCGTTAAAGCGTTTGTGCATCATCGATCAGTCACTGCTAAGGTGTCCTACCATTTCAGCACAAGACTGGTGCAGCCCCGTCTCGACTGATTTAACTAGGGCCACCTTTTTGACGACGATTGCGGGCATCACTTCAAAGACTTCACTGTCTTTTGAGAAAACTGTGAAAAACCGATGAGCATTTTAAATGGTAGTATTCCCTCCAACAAATGCAATGTTGGTTTGGTGGGCGGAAGTTGTAGCTCTCAGCAAGAATTTTGAAGCATTTGGTACACACATGCGAATTTGCACACTGGACCCAGGAATTTTCAAAAAAAGTATAAAAATTGGGGGAAAGTTAAATTGTGAACCAACAATAGAAAACAATAAGCAACATATTTCGCAGTATTAATGAGCAAAAAGGACTTTCTGAGATATTGATTTTCCATAGTAATCGGCCCCAAAACTTCCTGAACTCAGAAAAGCGACACTAAGATATCCGGTACCTAATACTGGACGAAATCTCTATTTCATGGTATAGTATCGTGCACTTGATATTAAAATCTTTACCATTATGCTGTTCCATCCTGTATTTTTCACCGTGTTTTTAACGATGTTAACATATTACTGCGTTGTATACCAGTTAAGTACGCTTTCATACGAACCGATCAATTTCTAACAGCTTCACCTGTTGAGTTAAAACATTGACACTCAAGTGATAGGCTGGACATGTGACAAAAATGATTTCCCAACCACACGGTTGTGGTAAATGTAAAAAAGATTTTGTAAAGCAAAGCGTTGAGCATTTTGCGGATCCCTAGAGAGAAATCTAGATATTAACAGCTCATGAATATGAGTCAGTTACAATTGGTTTCTTCCCATCCACGTCACATAGCGAGCTGCTCCCTCAACGAGTGAGCGTTCATTTTCTCAGCGTGGTTTGTGCAAGGACACTTAAAGGCAAATGTTGGGCTCAGGCACGCTAGTTAAGTAATTTCCGTGCCTGAAGGTTGTATG